AACGAAAATGAAAATTTGCTTGATAATTCAACTACGCTTGTTGGAGAACAATAAAAACACTACACTCAACAAGCCACCAATAAAACTCAACTGCCTAACCTATAACCAAAGTCTCCTTTTAATTTGTTTTTAAAAAAAAGCGCTTGACAAACTTGCCCCGCATGCCGAAGTTGCCCCGGTCTCGCCTACTCTTATTTGATGAAATAAATATAAATAAATTTTATTACAAGTTATATAAAATATTTTCTATAGGAAAAAATAATTTTCAATACTAATAAACAGTTTATTCAATTTTAAACGCTTAGATTTTACTTCGATTGCATCATCCTCAAATTTTTTGCACTTGTAGTTAAGATAGAAAGCCGAAACTTTCAGAAGAAAATACGTTCGATAACGATGTATTCTTATGATGTTATAGCACATAATTTCCCCTTTATCATCATCTTATAGAAACTCTATAAACATAATCAGTTTTAAAATTTAATCATCTTCAGGTTTATGTCGATGTAATGTAATGACTTCGACAGCGGAAATTTGATAACCTCTACGATTCCTCACAAAAAAATTCTATAAACACAAAAAATATATTTTTCTTCAATTTAATTAAAATAATTGTGATGTTACTGGATTCAAACCAAACAGAAAAGAATAATTATAAATATTTTCGTTATTTATTCTAATAACATAAATAACGACGTTTTAGTTGCCATTTTTAGACTAAATCGAAATAATTAAAACACGAAATATTTGTAATAACTTAGAGGTAATTTAAAAAAAAGCCCACTATTTGCCCTTGAATAACTTGTTTTCTTTACACATCAAAACCATTTCACTTGTTTAAATAAATGTTTATCGTTTAATTGTTAGCAGCTGATTCTTCTGAATATATTTCTACAATTCCCATCTTAATGTCTTAATGAGAATTTTCTTTAACGAAGATTTTCAAATTAGACGTTAAGGGACTCCATTAAAAATTTTATCTTTTCCTTAAAGATGTCAATTGGTTTGTTTTATTACCATTTTTTTGTGTTTATATGTTTGTTAACCTTTTTCTTTTTTTGTTGATTTTCAAGTTTCGTAGAAACAAAACTGATCGAAAACAGAGATAAGCCAAAATTATCAAATTGATAAATAAGAGTTTTTATTACATTTACCGGTTACATTTGTTGACCTCGTGCTAATTTTCGATAAGAGTTTTCTGTTTGGAGAAATTAATTAGAATGAGCAAAAACTTGAATCAAGTTAATATTAATTAACATATACATATATATTACTGAACAACTCAGTATTCTCAGAAATATTTCTTCAGTTAAAATCATGAGGAATCGAATAATTGTTGTCTGTGTTTTCGTCTTGGTAATTCCTTTTGCTGATTTCACGATTGTTGAAAATTCCTCCAAGTCGAACATAGGCGCAGATTCTGATGACGTAGAAAAAGCTGGTCGTATTTTAAACGATTTTCACGATATATTTAAATATGTCACTAGTAATGTCGCTCGATTGATGCTTCCCGTCATGTTGAAAATTACTGAAGATGTAAACGTCTCTCGCTCGTGTATCGAAGGTGGGATGCGTTTATTAGAAGATTTAAAGCAAAATAAAGGGTGGACTCTACAATGTAAGTGAATTAAAATTTGTTATATTTAAATAATTATCAAGTAAATGTACGTGATTACATATATATCCTCTTAATTGGTCTAGTCGATTTTTAATGACGTTTAGCAATGCCTTAAAATATTAAACTCGATACACATTCATATTTTCTTTATATCTGTGAGAAACAATATAAAAAATATACAATAGATATAAGTCGTTAGGTAGATATTCGAGATATTCGTGTATATATATATATATATATATATATATATGGGAGACCGGGGCAACTTCGGCATGCGGGGCAAGTTTGNATTTACTAATGTTAATAGATTGTCCGTCATTTGTTTTCTAAGTAATTCGTTTTAGAACCAGGTGTCCGCGGAAATTTCCAAAATTTACAACTTTTCGGTCACTCTCGTTGAACTGGAAAAATTTCTCTCTCTATTACATCTAATATTACAAAGAAATCAGTCCCCACTATACAAGGCTAGGGATTGGTTCGGTTAAGCTTTTAAGTAATATTCCGACTCTTTCAGCAGGGTTTGATTTATATCCCTAATTCCCGAATCTCTTAATTATTTAACTATTTCTTAATTAGAAATAAGTTGAAACCGGTGACTTTGTACTTGAATATTTGTAGTCTTGGGAAAGAAGTGAAAAGAATAATTTTTATGACAACGCATACATAAATCGTTAACTTAAAGATAATAAATTCTAGAACTTTTTCTGTTCCTTATGCGTCACTCTCATTCATTAAGTTTAGTTGTAAATGATGCTACCAAAGAAACAGTTAATTTTTTTTATCATTATACAAGAATTGTACAAGTTTTTTTCTTCATTCCTTTATAGATGGGACATATATATCGTAATATCACTAGTTTAACAATGAGATCTGTAAGTAATACAAGATGGGAAAGCAGATAAATATATCAAATATTTTTATGAATATTTTTAAAACTCCTGTCAACTACACAAAAATATAAAAACATACAATCATGCAATATGTGTTTATATTTTAGAAAATACAAAGAAAGCGGCGCTTCCATCGCTTCTAAGGACGGCACGCCACTGCTGTACATTACGTCACACTTTTCCTGTTGGCAACAGAGTCATTCCCTCATCTAACTCTTTGCAGGGATAGTTTTCCAATTGAAATAACGTGACTTCCAGTTTGCATCAAAAGTTGCATCAAGTAAAAACTATTTCTTGCTAAAAGCTACAGAATTAAGTAAAAATAAGCAAAAATTCTTAATAGATAAGTAGAATTTGTTTCTTTTCGTTTATAACGTTAATTTAAATTTTTAATTATTAAATTAGCGTATTAATATTTAAAACGCTATGTTCTTAAGTCAAAAAATGTCATAAAATAATTAGTAAACATTGCTCGAAGACTTCTCTGTTATTTTCGTTAAATATAAATTTGAATGTATAATTACAATATTTATTTTCTTTTTATATCTGATAAGAAAAACATATAATAAAAAAATAAGTGTCGTCGGTTGTCCGACTGTCGTCCCTTAATCTCAACAACGGAATTAGGAATATGAAATCGAAGGTCACACCTGGAAAGAATTGGGGCACGAAACTTCCAATAACTATAAAAGACCGTCTGATGCAAACCGAAAGTAACGTAATTTCAATTCAAAACTTTCTTATGAAAAGTGTAAGATGTGTGAGGTCCCAAAAACGTGTTGAAATTAAACATTTATTATTAGTAATTTGGTAAAACGAAAGTAGAAAAATCGTCCATTGTTAAAAACTGATGAAATATCGGATTAGTTGTGCTAGTCATATGAAACCGCGACGAGAGAGAGAGAGAATAAAAAAACGCTATTGATGTAAACAGAACGCAAAAATTATAAATGATTAATAATTGTAAACGAATCACCTCCAGTAAAGATGGACCTTTGACAAGTCGCTCAAATGCAAATAATTAGAACATAAAAATTTTGAAAAGGGGGTAAGGTTAATGACGAAAAAGGACATCACAGACTAGAGAACAGTGGTGGAAAATTTGAGCGCAAGTTTCAAAGTTCCATCGACATTTTGCATCCAGAGTAACGGATGGTGTCAAATAAATTTTTCAAAGCGGATCTTTCTGGTGACTCGAACAGGAATCGTCTTTCGCTTAGAGACAGACGAAAGACCAATCGGGGAGCGAGAAAAAACGGACGTGTAGCCAATTAGAGAAAAAGAAAACAAAGAACGGAGATTGATATAATTCCCGATCTTCAAGGACAGACTGATATCCGAAAACTGTGCACCTGCACACGGTTAGTCAACGCGCAAAAGCAGTTTTCGTCTGTTGTGCCCAACTTGTAACCTGTGACTACGGACTATGACCGGCTGGACCGACTGGTCCGACCCGACCGATATTATAATCGGACCTACTAGTAGTAAAAGCATTCACACTAAGTACGATTATATGTCGGTGGCCGACTCATAAGGACCAATCAGAACGCGTGTTATAGATCAATACACTAGCCAATCGTGGTAAGTTTTTTTTTTAAATTAAACAGAAAACATGGCGGTCATGGAAAGCGATCGTGCATTTACAGTAGATATATCGCGTCATTATTAGATTATTAGATTAGTCAATCGCGTACCTTCAACGTTTAGTTTCTTGCCAATCTCCGTCCAAGAATTATTTTTTTTTTATGTTGTCTTTATAATCGGCTCGCCGAATATCATAAAGCCACGGATATGTTCTGACTTTGTTTATTAAAGCTTCAGAGAAATTTATACTTTCCGCCATTTTCTAACTTCGACGTAGATTGGATAAATCTAAACTCTGATCGGTTATAGCTTCGAAGCTCTTATTGGCTGTAGCTCACCGACTACTCCGACCCGACTACAAATATTTAACTTTTCAAATCTGTCCGACTGGAACGACTAATCGGTCGGCAGACTGCTGTTGCCATGGCAACACGACTTGGAGTCGGGCCAGTCGGTCATAGCGTGAAATAGCCCTTAGACCGCCGACACCGACTGACGAATCTCCACATCTGCCGTTGCCCCGGGGCCTTCCTTCGAGCAGCATTATAAACACCTTCGACAATTCGAACCTCCAATTGTATAAAGAACATTTTTTTCCCTTAGTGTACGTTTACTTTTATGTTTAAAATAAACGGGTTTATGTGAGATTCTTGTCATCCGTGTCTCCTCCGCCACACCCACATGCGAACGACCCTAGATCATCCTGACGCGGGATTAACAATTCCCTCTGGTAGTCGGCGAACTTACAAATGTATGACGCTATTATCAAAAAAAAATATATGATGTACAGTGGAAAGGTAAAGAAAATATATGTTAAATCACTACTTTTCCTTTCGTACTCTTTGTTAAAAAAATGTCAACAGAAAAAGCAAAGTTTTTACATATATTTTTTGACGTACAGTAGCAGTTACGTGATTAGCTTTTATGCACCGTTCGAACTGTGCAAAAGTTATCATATCCTTTACCAAAGATTCACGTTTGTTTCAAAACATTATTTTACAAAAAACTGTTACTTTTTTACCTTTGCTAACATACTACTTATGTACTTCTATAGCAACAGTGTCAAAGTTTTTGTATCAATTTTAACCGCAGTTATTTTTCTAGGAGACATCTTGACCTATTCTTTTTTAAAATAAGCAACATTAAATGCACGTTGATGACAACAAAATAAACTTTAATTATAATCACTCCGCCTACATCTTTGTTATGATCTTAGTGTGTAAAGATCTCTGATCGTAAGCTGTAAGAACCTCGAAATTTGTAATTTCTAATCGTAAAGTCGCTGTTATAGCGATTTTACGATTACAATTACGAGAATAGATAACGTTACAAGGCCTTAATTTTTGTTCTACTCTGAATTATTAAAGGACATTTTCTATTTAATAAATCTAATACAAACAACGTTAAATTACTAAAATAAATAATAAATAAAAAACTTGAAAAAAAACAAGGAAAATTTCTAAAATTTTAGATTTCGTTATTCCTTGTAAGAAAAAACAATGTGATTTGTGAACTTTTTGTGTAGAAAAACAATTGCAAATTGTAATAAAGAGTGATTTATTTTTACTTTGTTTCTTCTTTAAAACAAACAGAAATTATAATCACGAAAATTTAAAAATACTTTTATAATTGTTCTATTATTGTTTAAACAAATTTAATTACGTGACAGAAAAGAGAATAAATAGAAATAATTACCCTTGTCGTAATCTAAAACCCCTTCGGCTCATTCCTAACATTAAAACCTGATTTTACATATGTTAATACAAAAAGTACTTGCGTCACACTTAAAGTTATAAAAATTTATTTGAACAATTTCTAAATATTAAGTACATAATAACCGGTCGTTTATTTATAGTTAATAAATTAAATACATTTTAAAAAAGTTAAGTCGCAATACTAAGATATAATAATTCATAAATATAAGGGTAACCCATTATAGTATCTGTGCACTTCTGTCTTCGAAAATTGACTCATACGTGTCATCATTGTACAGCTCGCAGTATTTTATGAATATAAAAACGGACTATTAATTAAAACTGAGTTGTATTTTGAAAATAATAATTTGACACACACAAAATAAATGCATTCTTTAAATTTACAATAAATAGATAATAATAAGTAAATTGTGTAAGAGTTATTCATTAATAGTCGTAATTGTCATGCATGAGCCAAACCACTTTGCTAGTTGCAGTTTTTAAAGTCCTTTTATAAATATTACTTAAATTCTCTACTATTTACATTTGTAAGTAGCAGAATTTGAAGGAGATAAATTATAATTATTCGAATTCACTTTACATTTGTTCACAAAATCTTAAAAGAAGAAGAACTTTTAACTATTATAAACCAAGAAAATTAATTTCAACAGAAGCTTCAAAAACAAGAAGTTATTTGAAGGTAATCTTATTTGTTTTATTCCTCCATAACATTCGTTATTTATCGTCTTAAGTTAATTTTCTATTTATTTTTATATTTACTTGTAACTTAACTATACAGTATGAAACTACAGTTCTGTGAATGGATAGATCG